GTCTCTGGCCATTTCGACCCTCTGGCTAAAACCCCCAACACCCATCACCCTTGAACTTCCGCTCGTAGTTCTTGGCTTGGAAAGTCTCGAGAAGGTGACAAAACTTTCGTTGGGCCAGCACGTCTTGTCGGCTGCACACACCTGATCAGCATCGGATCTCACCGGCCCGGATGCTTCGTGTCAAAGCCTTTCCCCCATCCCTAGGCCCTGGGAGGGGACCTGAGCCTGGTCGTCGAATTTGGTCGTTCATGCGGTCTAGACTGTTTCCGCACCATCGGATTGTCGTGTGGCTTCCGCGGCCCATTGGTGACTAAACCAGACAGACCACGGCTTCCCCAGATGGTGTGTCCAGCCAGGCCTCCCGTCAGGCTGAATGTTCGATTGTCTCACGGCAGCGAGCGAGCTGAGCAGCTTTGTAGCCAGCACTTGGACATGAATGGTTGCGCTGCGGCACTGGTTCGCCCAGGAATGTTGTGTCTCACTCCGCCCTCCATCCGGTCCCTGCTTCCCACAGGAAGAGGCAACCTTGGCTGGCTCTCCATCATGTTATGGTCTTTCAACCTTATTAACGTTCCTCCACCTGTCGGAATCTACCCCTCCTCCGCCTCGCTGACAGTCGCCTAGGCTCAGGTCCCCATCCTGACACGTTCACTCCCTCCCAACAGGGCACATCCAAGTACAGTGTCGCAACACATGTTCCTCTGGCTCGGCCATGGATTAGAACAAACGTGAACCCCACAGACCCTGAGGGCCCTTGTCAACACGGCACAAACGTGCCACAACGCACCGTAGCCGTCGAAAAGTCAGCCAGCACAATGCGACGAACAAAAAGAAGCACGCTGTCTTTGGGCCTGTACCCACCAGTTGTTGTGACAAAGCAGAAGCAACAAGGGCCCCGGGCCGACTCGATGACACGTCTGGCGAACCATATTCAGGAGCCGACCACCCTGTGCTTCCCAGAAGCATTGACGAAGAGGAGATCCGTTCAGTGTTTTCAGGCTGTGGAGTGCCGATTGCTTAATCAATGAGCCAAGCCCTCGTCTCTCACACGTTCACTTTCGCGCGCATCGCCCAAATCAAACTCACCTCGGGCGACGAGGTTCACGGCATCGCGGCCAGGTGTCGCGAAGCCGACCATGCTTCTGGCTGTGATTGGACCAGACAGGGTTGCATCCTGTGCCTCTACCTGCATTTTAGCTGCAACTCGTTCTGCAAGACACGGCTTTTAATCACATGGCTAACGTGCCCCGTCATGCAGCACGCAGGCGTCGCTCACCGGTGAGTGGGTGAGTGAGCTTTACTCAGCGCAACATTGGTTAATGGCTGCCAGCCCAGAGCTGGTGTACTGGACATCTCCATGTCAAGGTCATTGCACGCACAGTACCGCCCTCGGCAGTGGTCGCAGGCAGATCCGCTCCCGTCCGATGAAGATTCTCACTCCACAAGCCATGATTCGTTGTGTTGCACGACAGTATTTTGATGGCGCTATGACCGAACCTGAAGTGTGCAAGGCAAGATACCGCCATCGTCAATGTTGACTACATTGATGTTCAGAGGCCAATCGCGTGGGCATCAGACGACAGACAAGGGTCGAACTGCATGGTCTACGATCCGGATAGTACTTAGTGATACCCCCGGAACTCTATGAAGCTGGTGGACAGCAAAGGCTGAAAAATCTCGAATCCCGGTTGGGCAAACAAGTCACCATCACGCGAGCTCAAGGCCGTCGCATCTGGCTTCCAATCTGAACCTCACTGGCCCAGTGAGGCGCGCTTGTTCCTTTGCAGACACACGACAACATGAGCACGCTTGTCGCCTACCGCGCAAGGATCGGAAATTGTTCACACCCAGCCTGAAACCACAGACCAAGAGGTGGTCCCGCGCCGCCCGCGACAAACCCTGGCCACCCTCAGAGGTGCCGGGCCATCCCAAAAACCACCGCACGCCGCGTAAACTTTGATAATGAATGGCGCAGTGGCCCCAAGCCAACGGCGGCTGAGCTGGCTGTGATAGCAGCTCCTGACGAGATGAACCGTTTCCCACATGGCTGCTAGTGAGGCGTAGATCTAGCTGAACGTTGTATGCTTCTACCATAATCGACCTGTTGTCTTCGCTTTCGGTCCCACCATCGACGTAAGGGAAGGTTCGCCGTTCTGAGGGAAGGCCGCCAGAAAACGCCTACAGCCAGCCAGCTGTTAGATTGAAGGGTTCTTATCGCAGCACTAGGTAGGTGACGCGGAAACGATCCTCATACGAGTCGTCGAATCAACGTGCGCCTTCGAGGCTGTGCTTCCCACGTCAAATTCCCAGCAGCGCGGTTCGACGGAAATGCAGTTTGCGCAATCCCAGTCGTCAGTAGTAAAGGGTTCAGTCACCTCCTGGCGCCATCTCGGTGCTCAATTGTCCCACCCAGCTGTTCTCGACACGGCTTGATGGCGGTCAGGTGATCGAAGGCTCATGTCGGAGATGGGCAGCGGCCGGCTCCCCGATCGCTTGCGACCATCCAAGGCGGGGTTTCTCGCGTGGTCGCTGGTGATCTTGCTGCCCAACTCGAGAGAGGGTGGACCTACAGTAGTCCTGCTACGGGTCTCATTTTGCATGATGAACACCCACGTTCTGGGCTAGCTGTAATCATCGTTTACAGTCTCCAGAACCAATTTCCAGAATCGGTGCTCCTTTGCTGGCTGCCATGGTCCAAAAATCTGACGGTGATTGTGACATGAACACCAAGCTAACCCAGCAGTGCGCCTTATCTTCTATGCCAGACTTCCGAGTTCTCCGCTGTCATGGGCGGAAAAGAGTTGCTCAATTTCATCTGTTCTCCAAGGCTGAGGCATGCTGCATGGGCACGAGACCGTGCTGTGTGGTTCTCGTAGCACTAACCCCGCGTGAAGTACTTGGGTAGTAGATTATGTAGGGCCGTCACACAGGATCCAAGTGCGATACAACCTAGGACTGCCATGCTACCACGAGCGGTTCGCGTGAGGATACACCTGGTTTTGAGAACTGTCTCGGATCAGGAACTTTTTCCTAGCTGGACTTCGAGCTCTGTACAAGCCTAACCAGGTGGAACAGTCGGCTTCGAGCCCCCTGAAAGGCACGTCAAACAAAGAGCGAAGCGCCCCCCCTGAGGCAAAAGTCTCTCCCTCGCCAACCTAATATTTCACTGAGCCCCTGAGCCGAAAGTTACAGGCCCACGCTCCGCGCGCATGTCACCCTCCCGGTCCCAACTAACATGCACTCAACCACCATTAGCAATGATTACATGATGTGAAGTAGTATCCCGCGGTGTTGTGAAGACTGTACGTGGGTGGCATTGTGAATCCCCACGTCCCTTGTATGTGCCCCCGCATTGTCACGTTTCTGTTCCATCTACTGTTCGCGTCATGAAAGTATGCATGGCACGGATCGGAGGTAGGTAGCTAATGTATATGATAGTGTATTCCAGTAAAATTGAGCTGTGGTCCTTACAACAAAGGACTGGACTTAGACGCGTTGATCCAGTTATGCCCCATGGACAACCGGTCACATTTTCGAGTCGTGCTGAACTTTGTTACGGGTTCTTCTAACCGAGACTGACGTCTTTTGAGCGAACAACCGAAGTCGTAGTCGAGCAGATCCAGGCTCGGAAATTACAACGTGTGGTCAAAGAACAGACTCTCGGTGCAGCGCGAAGCTGTAGAGTTTTTATGAAAATTCAGCTGTTGCAGCGTCCATACCCATATTGAGTTCACAAACGTGTCCACGCTCGGAGTCCTCAGCAGAATGGAGAGTTATAGCTTTGACGAGCTCTCTCGAGTATTTGAGGAAGAACGGAAAGACCCTCTCCTTCTGAACCTTCAATGAAGACGGCAGTGATTCCACTTGGTTTAAGTATGAAGCAAAATCATAGGGTACTACGTATGATCTAGATGCATCGCGCCCTTGCACGATCTTATGAGACCGGTGGCTTCTAAATGTTACGAGGCAGATATCATACATAGCCTGAGCGAACATATACGGACTCGAAGTACAAAATTTGTTTGATCGTTTCAAATAAGAACATGATTTCTAGCTGAGTGCACGTGTGCTAGAACTTAACGGCGAAGTGTAGTGGGGGACTTGACCTGCAGGCAACATGAGAACCACACACGATGATGATCACATGTCCTTTGGGCTGACTGGAGCTCACAAGCCTCTCATTGATCAACCAGATAAGGAGAAAGGGGCCTACTTACGAGTCTTCAATCGTTTGTTTTGACATCGTGCAGAAACGACTTGGATCAAGAACTTCTCTGTATTGTGTTTCCGGGATGATTTCAACGCCCTGAGAAAGATGAGCCTCCCGGGCCACAACGTAGTTCAAATCCCCGGCTTCGATTCTTGACTTCGAATTTTCCTGACTACAGCCTCTGGTTCTGTGATGTGTCCAGCCCGTGACCTCACATCATCGAGCCTGACGCTTTGCCTTTCCTGTGGTTCGCGAGCAGTCCTCCTGCGTCGATGGGTTACAAGCAGTGTAGAGAAGAGTATGAATCCTATCAAAAGAGGCTGGGCACGCTTTAAATTCCCGAGGAGGACCATCGGAAGCACTGCGCGAACGCCACGCGCGGAGAAAGGAAGTTGTTTTAGTTGCGCAAATGGCACTACAAGATTGGCTGCCAGAAACCCCTTGCTGTGTGCTGCCTTAGATCCAGTGCCATATTCCCATGTCGTTTCGCCTGGGGAGTATGGTCTGGATTTCCGAGAATACAGCCCAATGACCTGATGCTCACAATCTGTGAAGAGCGATCCTTGATACGCGTCACCAGATACGCCGAGAAAGAGACCAACATCATGGACCAAGTGCTTCGATAGGAAGGCTGAGTAAACTGGGAAAAGTGACAACTCAAGACCTCCAAGAACCGAGTCAAAGCCAGGTAGAGGCACGCCAGCAGCTGGGCCTCCGTGCCGTGGGCTGCCTGATCAATAAGCGCAATTTGTCTGACATGTCATCATATTTATCTATGGCTAACTTTTAACTATTCCGAACCCAAACTCGACCCGATGGCAGACACGATGCGGCCTGTGAAGCTCTCTACCATGTTCGCCTCTCCCCTGGCCGCTTCGACGCGTGACTCCTCCAGACACTCGAGGACCGTCTTGATGCCGATGCCAACTTGTTGCGACCCGGTGTCCTGTGAAATGGTGTTGACAATGTGGTTGATGTCGGCCGAGTCAAAGTTGTTTGTCTGGTTGAGAAGGCTCTCGAGCTCGCGCAGCGTGGAAACGGCAGGGACGGGAATCTGACGCCTGAAGAGCTTCATGACGCCCAGCATTTTGAGGACGTTCAGCTCCGAAGTTGTCACGAAGACAAGGAGGCGACGGCCCTGCGTATGCTTGTTAGTGATACGTCGCAATGGAGAAGATGGGCAGGCGGCTTACCTTTGGAGGCGCAGACTGGATTAGGGACGTCAGTCTGTCAAGAATGGTGTTTGAGAAGCGAGGCCCGATAGGGTTCCACTCAATGAGCTGCTCAAAGTTGTCCAGAATGACTATGCTGAGCGGGGACTTGTAAGCATCGGCAAAGACCTTGGAAAGGTAGTCCTTCTTTCCAAACTCGTCGCGGAAGGGTGTCAGGTTCTGCGGTGACACGAGTTTGACAAAGGGGTACTCGGACAGCATGGCGATGTGTGATGCGATGGCTGTCTTGCCAGATTCAGCAGGGCCGTGGAAGAGGACTGACATCCTGTCTAGGACCTGGCCCTCCTTCAGAGTGTTGACGTAGCCCATGCCAGTGCGGATAATGTCCTCGATGTGGCGGCTGTACGTGATGATGCCCATCTTGATTGAGTTCGCCAGGTCGTCCTCAGAGACACCGTATGCTGGCTTAACTTCGGTCAACGCCGCCAGGAAATCCTCCATCTTGATCTTCATGGAGGCGACGTCCGACTTCATCTTCGCCATCTCGCCGACTTCGGTGTGGCGGTTAAACGCAAATGACGTCGCAGCCTTGACGACACCTGCAATCTCAGCACCAGAGTAGTTCTTGGTCTGCGCCGCAAGGGCCTGAACATCAACCGAATCGTCCATGATATCGTTCTCACGCATTTTGTTGGTGTGAATCATAAGGATTTCCTTTCGACCGTCCTCGTCAGGGAGACCGATCTCCAGCTGAACCTCCAGACGCCCAGGTCGCAGCAGAGCCTCGTCAATCATGTCCTTTCGGTTCGTCATTCCGATCAGCAGAATGTTGTTGAGCTGGTCGACACCATCGAGCTTCGTCAGAAGCTGGTTGACCACACTGTCACCGACACCAGTGCCTCCACCGGCGCCTGATCCACGCTGCTTGCAGACAGCATCCAGCTCGTCGAAAATGATAATGTGAAGGCCGCTCTCGTCGCCCTTCTCCTTGTACTCCTTTTCCGCATCGGCGAACATCTTTCGGACGTTCTCCTCCGAGGCACCAACGTACTTATTGAGCACTTCAGGACCGTTGATGATCTTGGGTGGACGAGCGTTCAGCATCTTACCAATTTGTCTGGCAATCAGCGTCTTGCCGGTTCCGGGAGGGCCGAAGAGCAGAATTCCCTTGACGTGCTGAATTCCAAGCTTTTCGACAAGTCGGGGCGGGAAGACGCGAGATGCGAAGGCTCTGCGGAAGATGGTGCCGAATTCCTCGCCGAGGCCGCCGATGCCCATGTCCTCAAACTTGAAATCGGGAGCAATGATCGAGTTGGTGTTGGCCCTGTGAGCGGAAGCTTTTAGATTGATCTCCGCACCGGGCGCTTTGAAAAAGTTAACTTTCGTCTCCGGCGTGATGATACCGCGAGATCGAGGCTCCCTCGATGCTGCAGCGCCAGCGGCCTCTGTCGACATGCCGAGATCCACCAAGCCGACGGTCTTGACGACGATCATGAGGGGAACGTTATTCACGTCCATCAGGATCCTCTCGCCCGGAGATAGGATCTGATTCTGGTATGTCTTGAGGAATCGTGGCACAAGGTCGTCTTCGTCATATGCTTGAGCTGATGTCTTCTTGACTGAGGCAAATGATACTTCGACATCCAAACTGCCGAGGTATGCCTGGCTACCTTGGCTGAAGGGATCATAGACCTCGCCAGTGAAACGATCCATCATGCCAATGCGGCACCACGTTCGCTGAGGGTCGGACAAAGAGATGGTTCCAGGCGGGAAGCCGTCAACGGGTTCGGCACTGACAACGTATTCTCCAAGAGGCTCACCACCACGGATGAGGATATAGAGGTCGGAACCGTCGCGGCTCGGAGGAAAGTCCATAGGCGACACGGCGCATCTTCATGACAGTTAGCACTACTTTGAAGCGAGTCGCAGCATTCGGACGAACTGACTTGTTGTGATAGATGAGATGGCTTTGCATGGTCTTATCTTGGACCTTACCGACCGTGAGAGGGACCTGTCGACCTCCACCACCACCGCCACCGCCGCCGCCACCTCTCGGGGGGGACATGGGAGACTTCTCGTAGTTTGAAGGCAGGCCGGGGGATCGCTGTGGTTGTCCGTAGCCTCCTTGGCCACCGTATCCCTGGCTGCCGTATCCTTGGCCGCTGCCGCCATAAGAGCCCTGTGGCTGCTGACCATAGGACTCGCGGGGCGGCTGGTCTCTGGAGGGTACTGCTCGTGGGTTGGCGCCTGGAAGGCCCATCCTGCCCTGGCCGAAAGGCGGTGCTCGTGACATGTCGGGGAGAGAGTGTGTGAAAGTGAAGGTCTAGGAGATCTGGTCGTGATTTGTGGTAGAAGGTTTTGACCTTTACTTTGGACTATTAAGGGAGCGATGCGTTCACTTCCAGAATCTGGTCGTAAGGTGTTCTGTAGATGTTCAAGGAGGCCAGCGTCGTCACATTGGTGTTTCGTAAGTACCTGAAGTGTCCGTTCAGGCGCAGCTGTCCCGCTGAAAGCGGTTTAGTGGCAGAGCTACCTGTGGTGCCCATACCGTCATGGTGGGGTTTTCGCCTTCCCCACGACCAACTGGCCCCTCCAACCTGGCCTTATCGCTTATCGCTCCTTGCCCAAGCTCGTTATCGCTCCTCGCTCGAGCTCATTCTCGCTTCAGGCGCCCAAAATCACCCGGTCCAGACCCAGGCGGAAGGGACTCGACGAGTCTGGCCCTCTGGCAATCTCCATCAAGATGCCTCTGTAAGCTTTGTATTGCTTGGAAACCCACGGATGGCCGCTGACGAAGTTTAGTCATCTCCTAGGAAAGAAGTCTTGGAACGTGTACAACGCGGACAACATTGCCCGTGTCCGCCGTGATGAGGCAGCCGCCAAAGCCTCCGAAGAAGCTGAGGAGCAGCGCATGCAAGAAGTCGATGCAGAGCGTCGACTAGCCATCCTGCGCGGCGAAGAGCCTCCGCCTCTACCGGAACCTAGCCCCGAACAAGCCGTCGTTCGGCACGATCGCCATGCTTCGGGTCACGAGCGCAAGAAGCGGAAACGCACTGGCGAGGACGATACGGACTTTGAACTACGAATCGCCCAGGAACGATCTGCTGTGGTCCGAGCACACGGAGAAGATGTCTCGCAAAGGAAAACAAGCAGCGCGCCGATTGTGGATCGGAACGGACACATTGATCTGTTTGGAGAGGAGCGCAAGGCAAACCGACGTTCAGAGAAGAACGAAGAGGCGGAGAAAGAGGCGGAAAAGAAGAAGCGTGAATACGAGGACCAATACAGGATGCGTCTGTCGAGCGCCCCGGGCCGTGGAGGCATGTTGAACCCCTGGTACTCCAAGACAGCCGACGACGGAGCACAGCCAGATGGGTTCCAGGCATCTGAGAAGGACGTCTGGGGGAACGAAGACCCTGGGCGCAAGAAACGGGCAGCAGACAGGATTACCTCCAGTGACCCGCTAGCCATGATGAAGCGAGGGGCCGCCAAGGTGAGGGAAGTTAAGAATGAAAGGCAGAAACTACAGCAAGAGAGGGACACGGAGCTCGAGAAAATGCGGCGAGACGACAGGCGCAGAGAGAGGCGTGAGCGAGATGAGAGACGTTCTGAAAGGCGGCATCGCGACCGAAAACGTGATGGGGTGGGTGAACTCGACGGTCACGAAGAGAATCGCGACCGTCGCGAGTCTCGACACCACGACCGCAGGAGACCTTCATCGAGTGCGCGACACCAGCAGGACGAAGGACATCGTCAACGCGACTATTGATCTACAGCATGAAAGCGTAACGGATATGATCTGAATATTGGTAATGGCTGCGCTCTTGGGCGATGGTCTCGAGTGACAGCACAGCCATTCGCCACAATCGTGAAAAGAGACCCGAGCGGCACTATTCTCTCTGTCATGATTGTGCTGTCGCAGACAGATGTTCATCTGCTCAAGATGGCCAATCAGAAAATGCTCCCAGGCTGCCATATGATCGTGATATAACGGCACCCCTGCTAGGCGGCCAGACCGCAAGAACGCCTGACGCCCTGCAGGGCTGCGGCGCGGCGTCTTCAACCCTCTAGCACAGCATTCGAGGGCCTCATTCTGGCCATGAAATGGCGTTTATGTATGACAACGATTGATGGAAGATCTGCTGAGTCTTTCACAGAGATGATGGCGAAGCACACGCAAATGCTGCACTGCCACAAATTGCAAGAAATGGTTGCGAGAAGAAAACGAACTCGAGATAAAGGCTGGGCACCGATGCCTGGGGAGTTCCTTGAGACGAGACCTCACTTAAACCACCAAACACTAATCACCTCGTCACCCCGTCACTCAGCACAGCGCCCGCTGATCCTCGTGTTTCGATCGACTTCACAACCCTCTCACCACAAGTTCTACTTTCTGTTGATACAATGCCGGATCTCTCAAAGTTCCTCTACTACCTCAAGCCCCTCCACGAGCGGAAGCCCCCGAAGAAGGTGCTGCCAAAGGACGACAGTGCATCTCAAGCTACAGGCGAGGATGGGGAGAAGAGAATATACGGGTCGTTCGGCCATCGTGAAGGCCCGAACAGTATCGGGGCTGCAGCTGGTGCAGGCGCTCTAGGAATGGTAGGCCTACCAGGCATCTCCAGATGATAGAACGGAGGTGCAGAAGTGTGCCGTTGAGATGCTGGTTCAACTACATTCACGATCAATTCTTGACTGCTGTGCCCATGATGGTGGTGACGGCGGCGGCGGCAGCAACTCCCGGCAGCACAGACGGGGCAACGCTGACGGAGTCTGTGATAGCTGGTTCTGCTGGTTTACCTATTCCGGCCCGGCCTGGTACCAAAGCCTTGTGTCAATGATAGACCCAAATTTTAATTTGCTTTGTCTTTCAAATTATGAATTCAAGTGCCATGCTGCGCAGAACACGACTTGCTACGCAACAACCTGTGTGAGCTACCCAAGTTCTCATGATAATCATTGACGCCCCAAAGAAAAATCTCGAGCTCAGATGCTTTTCTGCGGTATCAATGTATCCCATCGTGCGATCCGCTTTCGGGCTGCCCATTTCCTTCGTGTCCGAAACGCACCAGAATAACCTGACATTTTGAGGCTCCTATCAAGCGTGGTGTTCAACCTTCGTTGCAACATCGTCAATCTTTTCATCCGACAAAACATCGGTGAGGCCCATGGAGGCTGCTATCTCCACCAATCTCATCTTTTCGTCATGTGCAGCCGTGTCTCCGAACACCAGGTCCATGTCTTCGAGGCTCTTGCCGCGCGTCTCCGGAATAAGAAAAAGCGTGAAGAAGAAGGCAATGGCGCAGAAGCCGGCGAAAAAGAGGTAGGTGCCGTATCCAATGGTCTCCAACATGTCCGGAGTCACCAATCCAATGACGAAGTTGGACATCCAGGTCGCGCTTGTTGTAATTGCCATGGCTTTCGAACGGTTTCCAAGGTTGAAAATCTCAGAGGGAAGAACCCAACCGATAGGAGCGAACGAGTACGAGAAGTTTATGTCGTAAATGTAGATGAAAGCGATGCCAGCCCACCCAGCTGACTTGTTCGTTCTGAGTGACTCTCCGAAACCGCCAATGATGCCGCCAACAATAACCAACGAGATGAACGTACCAGCAGCTCCGCAGAGAAGCAGAGGGCGCCTGCCCACTCTATCGATAAGAAAGAGAGCTGGGAGAGTTGACAAAGTGTTCACAATGCCATATACGCCGGTCGCGAGCAAACCTGACGTCTTGCCCGACAAACCCAGCTGGGAAAACATCGTCGGTGCGTAGTATATAATCGCGTTGCACCCCATAAATTGTTGCAAGAAGGCGACGCAGCAGCCGATAGCCAGGCGCTTGAAGGCAGGCCGGGTCGAAATGAGGGCGACATGTTGTGCGATGAATAGAGGAATACCTGTCTTGCCGGGATACCTTTCGCGGTTGAGAGCCTCTTCGAACAGAACCTCTGCCTTGATACCGAGGTATTCGTTGCGTAGTGAGGCAGTGTCGGGATGCACTCGTCGAATCTTGGCCAGGGCGGCAAGTGCCTTGTCTTCTTTGCGGCGTAGAAGATAGAACCGAGGAGACTCGGGAAAGAATAGCATACCGATGCCCAGCACGAGAGCAGGCAGAATCTGTAGACCGAAGGGAATGCGCCACGAAATATCGGATTGTCCGGTGCAGCCGCCCGGGCCGACATCGTAACGAGGATCGAATTTGGGGAGGTTGGTAGTGCCACCTGAATAGGGGATATCTGGAGCGCAGCGAGTGCCGCCGATGTACTGGGTTCCGTACTCGAGCCAGTAGCTGACAAGAATACCAAGAGTGATACTGAGTTGTTGCATGACTACTAGTGTTCCTCGGATTTCGGGCATAGATAGTTCGGAGATGTACATGGGGACAATCATGGTCAACATGCCAACGGCGAATCCCGCAATGGCACGGCCTGGTTACGAATAAACAACCGAATAAAATATAGCAAGTGGAAATATTTGGACGGACAACTTACCTGCAAATAGGAGTGGAACATCGTTGGCAGCAGTCTGAAAGACAGATCCAATAGTGAAAATAACGACAGCTAGCAGCATAGAGCCTTTCCTGCCGATCCAATCGGCTACGGGGCCATTGACGAGAGATCCGAGCCAGGCCAATAGCAGAAGCGACGAGACAAACCAGCCCTTGAAGCCGCTGTCGATGTTGATGCGTGGGAACGTGGCGGCGAAAGATTCCATAGTAAGCACGCCGGAAACTACACCTTGGTCGTAGCCGAACAGAAAGCCACCGAGACTAGCAAACTGGACGGATATTAGTAAGGGTTGGAGTTAAGGAGGACAATATCTGTAGACAATGAATGGGGGTAGCAAAGATTATGTTGGTTTGAACTGCGAATTGAGACAGGAATTCAAGTCCTACCGCTGAAAGTCCAACGATGAAGGGATTCTCGCGCAGCAAGCTCCAGGGGCCTCGCTTAGGCGAAGAACCACCTTCCGAATTGGAGCCTTGAAGTTCTGACATCTTTCGGCTTTTAAGTTTCCAACACTTAGCTTTTGATGTTGCTGATTTGATCCAGTCGAATCTGGGGAATCTTGCCTTGCGGGGAAGACCTGGGGTACTTATTTATACATCAGGCCGACTTGTGGAAGATAACATCGTATTGCGGTTCTAGAGCCCAGGATTGTACCAACCTAGAGTTTGACTTCGGGTCACAGAAGTCCGGACCAATGCCCTCCAACTTTGGCACCTCTTCCGGGTCCACACGATTTGCGGGCTTGGGAACTGAAATGGCAGGCTTAAACCGCTTGACTGACTCATGGAATCCACGACTTGCACTCCGTAGATCATTGATCTCCGCAGATGTGCGTCGGCTTTCTTGTCGATCGGACGTCAGTCGTCCGGGCCAAATGAGCATGCGGAGTGTTGTGGTAGGCCAACACGTTCAAGGCTGCCGAATGCTGAGCCACGGCCTAGTTCACAGTTAGAAATCCAGCAACAGCTGCAAGCACCAGTCTTTGAACAAGCTTCTCCCTCTTTGCACAAAATTGAAACATCACCGCCTTTCAGTATGCTGGATCTCTCCAACAACAAGAACCTGGGGGATAACCTGGCAAAGACGACAGCTCAGCTACGGTTTCGCGCCGAGCACCTACTCGCTGAACAAAATCGTAATGATTCTAGACAACGAGTTTTGATTGCGCTGGCTGGTGTTCCCGGCTCAGGCAAGTCAACAATCGCCACCGCTCTCCTCGAAGACCTGAATAGACACGGCATAAGACATATTGCTGTCCTTCCAATGGTGTGTTAAAATTATCGTTCCCACCTCAGATTATAGCATTTCCTCTTTCAAAATTCTGACTATCATGCTTCTTCAGGACGGATTTCATTATCCTCGACACGTTCTTTCGTCCTTCAACGATCCAGCTCTGGCCTTTCGCCGCCGAGGTGCCCCATTCACCTTCGATGCAAATGGCTTCCTGGAGATTGTCAAAAAGCTGAAGCAGATGCCGGTAACAGGGTGCGGCGAGCACGCGATGATCTTTCGGGCGCCGAGCTTTGATCACGCAGAAATGGACCCTGTCCCAAACAGCATTTCCCTGTCCTCAGAAGCGAGATTGGTGATAATCGAAGGCAACTACACGCTTCTTAATAAGGCGCCGTGGGACCAGATCGCTGATCTTGTCGATGACAAGTAAAGGGCTTCCCATTATCACCATTCAACCCCAGATGGTCGCTAATGTGTGTTTTGTCAGGTGGTTTGTCGATGTAGCAGAGGACGTGGCACGTCTTCGACTTGCAGCCCGACACCTTAAAGCTGGCATCGAGAACACAATGGAGCTTGCGCTCTTGCGGGCCGATGAAAACGATGTGCCCAATGGTGTCTACATACGCAAGAATTTGATCGAGCCTGACGTCCGAATTATTAATTAGAATGAATTGAAATCGAACCTATAAAGTGTTATATCTGGAATGATCCTGTCTCTGGCCAGCCGAAGAGGGTATAGAAGTCGTCGGTAGGTTCAGCTGGCCATAGAACTGGATCCATAGACCAAGATCCCAGCTGAATGTTCGTCCAGTCCTCAGACGTCGGGACTTGACCGGGGAGCAAGATCTCGTTGATGATATTAGCGCAGCGAGTTGCCAGAGGATTGTGGGCAAAGACACTGCCGAAAACATGACGAACAATCTCGAGATCAGCTTGCCATTCAGCCAAATTTGATGATTCGGGGTCTCCATGGATGACAAGAACAACGATCAGGGACGCATGAAATAAGAAGAAGCTGGATTGTTCCCTGTCAGCCGCCTGAGGATAGCGCCATCTCGGACGGGTTACTTACATCAGGTACCAAGTGGCGAGCCTGGTGATAACGCCGTGCCTGGTGTAAAAGTCGATCGATCTGATCGTGGCAGTTGCTGCTTGGAGTGCGATGCTTCTGCACTGTTCTTCGGCCGAGTCGGCATTCAGAGGCTCGCCAATCCCACCCTTCCTAGCCGCTTGTTGGAGCAATATTTGTCGGAATAGAATTATTCTAATATTCCAGAAGCGCCACCATAGACGAGACTTCGTGAAGAGAAATGTCGACTCCGTGCATTGGCCATCGTAGTTGAGAGCGAAAAACGATGGCAAGGTCTTCGCCCATCGACTCAATGTTGCATCCATTGACAGCGCGCTCTCGGCAGAGACACCGACCGACGAAAGAAGTCGATTTGAGATGAAATTGGAATGAACATGAAGATCACTCTGAATCTTCAGGCCAGAGTAGAGCGTTGGCTCGTTAACTTCGGCAGGCTGGTCGGTCGTCCTGCTGGTTAGAGACTGTTTTAATGGCGTTAATACGAGCACAGAGCACAGGGAGGAGACTCCTACCGCATCATGGATATTCAGAACTGGTCGGACATCCATCGCTTCAGTGTCGGGCAAGAGAATGGGTCTGCCAAAGGTAGTCGACGCGCCGCTGTCAAATATGTAGAGCCCCCACCAAACCCGCCGACGCATCTCACGTTGCAGCTTATTGATGCGCCAGTCTGGTAGCTCTCTGTGTAAACCCAAGCTGAGCGCCATGCGCGTTGCTAACCCGAGGAAATTGGAGCCAGTGTTGGGTTTGTTCCGTTTCTGACTGAGGTTGCTCAGCAGCACAAGAGCTTGCACAAACGTCAAATTCGCGCTCTCAAACAATGATTCGTCTTCTCCGAATGCGAGAGCTCGATGGTAAAGTTGGTCCTCGAGCTGCCCCTGAGCATCATCTAGGCACCATGCCCCGAGGGCCAGCACAGTGTGGAGCAGCATCTGCCACGAGGTTTGCTGTGGCCGCGGTATGACCTCATGAAGCTGGGCTCTGAAAGTTGGTTCATGAATGAAGGGGTATGCACAGTGGTACACAGAGAAATAAGTATCAACCAAATCGACTATGACCTGGCGCGATACATTCACTGCAGCTAACTGGGCTGAAGGATCGCGCGAGGAAAAGTGCTGTCGGAGTCGCTGTGGTCTAGGTTGGTCATCGGCAAGCGCGGCGGAATGACCAGTAAGAAGGAGCAGTGATCTGAGGAAGAACACACCAGCGGTTGAACCTGATGAGAAGTCAAATCTAGCTCAAAATCAAGAAAAGTACGGGCACGGCGTACCTAGATAGCCCGTGCCTCTGGGCTCGACGGACAGCGCAGCCATGCCGTCGGCGAGGACCGCAATGTCTTCCTGCCAGTCGAACCCATCTGATTCCTCAGGTACAGCTTCTGAAATAGGACTGGATACCTGCTGCCCCGGTGTTTGGGATGATGGGCCTCGTGGGGCGAAGTGATCTGATGCTGTGCTTTTTGGGGTGCCCGTCGCCCTTGCGCCAAGGGCTTGATTAATGTCGACATCGGGAAGTAGTTCAGCAAATAACTTCTCAACACGTTCTAAGCGACTCTCAACATCTGTCAAGTACCTGTGAAATTGTTGGCATCAGGAAGGACAAGCGATCCAGAGGTGGATAAGAGACACAGATTGATGGAGCTTACACGCGAGTGAGGGGTGATCGATGGGCTCTGCCGCTGTAATGACAGGCCACTGAGCTTCTCAAGCAGCCCTTGCAGCTGGGGATCTCTTTTGAACACTGTGCCACATGTCAGTTCCATACATCGAGATCATCTCGGCCGGGGCGGGGTTGGATTCATGGTGGCCATGGGACGAGCACCAACTCTGAGTTTCTTGGCGCGGCAGTGATCGCACTGTTGGAATTTAGAACTGGCCTAGCGATCACAGTTTCAAGACGGGCAATTCCACATACTGCTAAAGAATTGACATAAATCGAATGCGAGCTTGCTTCGGTCATTTTCCATTTGCGGCCGCTCGTGGTCTGAGGATAGAAGAGATTGTGGAGGCGGTCGTCAATGCGGAAGGCGACAGCCCACACCTGCCAGATTCTGCGCTAGTGGCCTGCCACCATATCACCTCACAACCGGGCGGCCGGACCTGTTATGTGTATAACGATATACCTGGCTGAGGCTCGACATACCCGTCAAAAGTTTAGATTTTCTACTTGTAGAAAAGGTCTCTATGAGTCGGAAGGGGCAGTCCTGAAAACTTCGAATTTTCCTTATTTTTGTAGACCAAAGTTCGCGCAACTGTCTGGCGCAATCAGGCGAAAGAGCAGGGTCATTTATCAAGGTGTCGCATACATGCACCCAAATGTCCTTGACTGATCACTTGAGTTGAATCCCTTAGCTCAATCCTCGACTAGAGGGGAACGGACACGAAACAGAAGAGTGTTCAATAGGGACTTTTCAGTGGCGCCTTTACGATTTCTCATAATTTGGAAGTTCACTGATATCAATTTCATTACGATGTGCTGTCAACCCCAATGAAATACATGAATCACTGGATGCAATCCAAGGAAGAACGCTGTAGTCAAGTTGGCTACGTACCTGCGAATCGAATGTCAAAATCAGGCGCTGAGAATCTCCCCCATGGCCTCAATGGAATCTTTCTTCTCCTTCGACCGGTACTTTGCTTCCGCCAACCCTGTCACCACTAGCATGTCCATATCCATGGTCGCCGGCGGCACATAGATATCAAAAGTAGGTTGACTCTGCTTGAACATCCCTCCAGGCCGCCTCTGATAAATCGCCAACACTCTCTTCGAAGAGTCTTTCAGGTACAGCGTGCTTGACGACAACGTGCTGCTGTCAACGCCCCAGCTTAGCTCATTGCCGTGATATGTAAAACTATGCTTCGTTCCCATGGTGTTGCTCTTCATCTTCAGAGCTTCGCCGCGTACAGTAATATCAATTTTGGAGGAGAGAGAATGCAGTTTGGCAGATCCAAGCGCGGCGTTGGGATCCTGAAGTCGGGGATCGGCATGCAGGATTGCAAGTGACTTTTCGTCGGGACTGTTGTGCAAAGCCCATATGGGCACGAGCTGACCCGAGGAGTCCAGCCGGTCAATGGTGACTCGGGCTCCACCGAGTTGTTGGTTAATGCATAATTTGTCGTAGAGCGTGGAAGGTGCCATCATTTGGTCATGGCGGTGCGAAGAACGTGCGGCGCGTGATAATGAAATAAAACCAGTATGAGAGTCTGGCTGGAAGCCTTGATGTTTAGAAAACAAACTACGTGACCGGAAGAGGTCGTTGATATAGCCCTTGAGCATTGAGCCTGAAGGGCTGAGCGCCTTGCCCGGCTGAAGATCTCGTCAGACGATTCGTGGCGCAAGCAAGCCTCCAGAACATGACGTAGGGCATGGAGACCCGCATAGGTTGGCAACGTCAACCTGTCGAGTCGGTTCCAATCAGTCCATTCCGGTGATTCTACGTATACGCGTATCGGTAGCACAAACTACATTCCGCGTACCGCGGGCTAGATTTCCCAACATCTGAACAGTACTTGATCACGGGAAACACAGAGTTTCTGCTTTCCATCAATTTGTCGCAACGAGATGTCAACGATCAGCTTGTGTAGGCACTCAGGAGCATGTGGGCCCCGGTCCTCTTCCGGTGCCGAGTCCCCACTTGTCGCCCGCCCGGAGCCGGTAGAATTAGATCAAGGCTCCTCTCGATACTGGGCCGGCCGCAATAACTGTCACGTCAAGAGTTACAATGGTAGGCCAAAAACAGCTGCCTGTGGTGAGAAGAGTATGTCTTGGTGCTCGTCATTGGGCTTGGGTGGCGCAAGGTCCTTGATTGCCTACACTCTAGAACGACACGAGGTGAGAAGGGAAGAATTTGACCACGCCGGCGGATGAGATGTAAAATAAGACAGTGGTGAACCAGAGCCAATGTGAAAAACAAACCCAACTCCAGGCCCATGAGAGGGATGTGCACGGGAGTAGCCTGCCAGACAGCCTAACACTGAGGCGAAATGAAGGATCCGCTGTTTGGAAGGATTCCAGAAGTCCTTGGTGGCAGTGTTTGATGGATCCTCCACGTCTTCGCCTTGTATCGCCACCTAGCGGATGGCTTACTATTGTAAACCTCCCACCAACTGCATCATCGCACCGGCTCCTCCCTTATATAGCTTATGAATTTAATTGGGGGAGGGGGGTGGGGCGGCCTCATAATCGCAGGAGTCTGAGCAGATGCTACGCGTTCAACCATGGTGAACCATGGTGCTTGAGGCGGGTCGTCACAGCCATAGATTGGTCACAGGCGGTCTACGGTAGGGGCTGCGGACTCGAAGCAACCGGAGTCGATAATTGGAGCCGATGGGGTGCGTCGGTGGGCACCCTTCGAGTGTCTTTCTCTCCAACGGCTGGACGGCAGCGCCAACGGCCGATTGTTGCCCCGAGCACGCCTAGTGAAGTCATGAAGCGCACGAGTTCGAGCGGTAGGCAATACGCGTTCTGCCTCCAAGCTTGTGGCCAACCTGTCATCTGCTGCCATTGATTGAACATGGGGTGGCGTGGTCCCCAAGGAGCGCCATGTGGTCTTCTCTGAGGCTGGTCGGTGGAATGTTGGGCGGCTGAGCGAGGACCCATGCAATCAATCAACCTAGGCAAATAACTAGGCACATATATGTACAAGCGAGCATCCACAAATCGAGGCCACACGCGCTGCCCTGTAAGTCTAACGAACGTCTTGCAATACGACGATACGGTATTCCAGCCTCGCCCAGCTAGCTAGCCTTTGGGCGCCAAAGGTAGGCTGACAGCAAGACCGATGTCACATGCCAGCCTCAGGGTGTGCAGTCACATGAGCGAGCGACAGCTAGCAGGGCCATTTGAGATTCAGGGAATCCCATGCCCGAACAGATGCACTCAATGAATATGAGGCCCCCCCCCCGGAGATCCTAGGCAATACACCACTGTGGTTGAGGTGAGGTCATGACATGGCCTGACGGGTGGTGCGGAGGTAGATGCAACGCCAGAGGTTACCCTTTGATTCCGTCCGCGTCGCGACCCTACCGGCCGGCGCTGCTGATCCGAGTGAGCCCAGGGTGGATGTTGGGGCAATCTGGAGTGGCAGGGCTGGTCACGCTGCGACGAGGAGGGCTCCTTTCGGTATAGCGTTTCCCTACGGCCCCGCTCGGCATCCACATTGCCGATGAAACCATCGTGAGCCAAGAGCAACAGGCGAGGACCTATCCCTGCAAGCTCCCTTCCTGCAGGCGTCGTGACTGGCCGGCACTTGCCTCTCCATTGGCAGGTACCCACTAGAAAGCTGCCCAGAGCTCTGGGCGCCTGCTGGGCAACGTCAACACTGCCCTCGCCGCGCTCCTTCACCACTGTGACCAGGCAATCAGTGACCATCTCATCTCCTCTCCAATGCTCCGCACGACCCTTCCCCAGTATTCGCCTCGAAACGAACCCCCAAGCCCCCATCACCCAAGACATTCCCGAGTTCCTTTCTGCCTTGTCGCTCTGTACAAATACCCCGGTATCTCCCTTCCCACTTAGACGAAACTTTGCCTCATCCAACGAATGTCCGATCCCATTCACCATCGCCCTTCATCGATCACAGTGTCTGAACAAAACCTGGTTGACACACCTGCCTCCACAACTCAATCCTATCCGTCTTCTGTCGCCAATACCAACATGAGTGCTCCAGCCTACGAGCAGCAGGGCACCAGCTCTGGCAAGGCCCCGGTTGCTGAACCCACCGGTCAGGACTTCTTCAACAACAACAACCTCAGCGCCGATGATGAAAGACCCAGGCCTACTGATGGCGCCACCTCGAGCGACGCTGGTGGCATCAACGGCGGGTTTCAGCCCACCCATAAAATGACGGTGAAGCCTCCCGCCAAGGAGGACCTCCAACGCAGCTATGCTACCGTTGTGGAGGAGAATGCCAACCCCAAGGGCTGGTACGGCACCATGATCAACACCGCCGGTGCTATCATTGGTACCATTGGCGCTATTCCATGCTGCATCATCTGCCCCAACCCTTACAAGAGTGTCAATCAGGGCAACGTTGGCCTCGTCACCAAGTTCGGCAAGTTTTACCAGGCTGTTGATCCTGGTCTTGTCAAGATCAACCCTCTCAGTGAGCGCCTGATTCAGGTCGACGTCAAGATCCAGATTGCCGGTAAGTTCAGACAGTCCAAATTTCGACAACGGCTCGTGTGCCTAACTTCAGTGCAGAGGTTCCCCAGCAGACTTGCATGACCAAGGACAATGTGACTCTCCACCTGACATCTGTCATTTATTACCACATTGTTGCGCCCCACAAGGCCGCCTTTGGTATCTCAAATGTTCGCCAGGCTCTCATCGAACGCACCCAAACTACGCTTCGACACGTCATTGGCGCGCGCATTCTTCAAGACGTCATTGAGCGCCGCGAGGAAATCGCCCAGTCTATTGGCGAGATCATCGAGGACGTCGCGGCTGGCTGGGGTGTGCAAGTTGAAAGCATGCTCATCAAAGACATAATTTTCAGCCAGGAACTGCAAGAGTCGCTGTCCATGGCTGCCCAGAGCAAGCGTATTGGTGAAAGCAAGATCATAGCCGCCAAGGCCGAGGTATGTTGCGAGTTCTGTTCCCCCTTTTGTCCTATGAAACTTTGACTAACACACATGCTAGGTCGAAGCTGCCAAGCTCATGCGACAGGCTGCCGACATTCTATCGTCTGCACCCGCCATGCAGATCCGCTACCTCGAGGCTATGCAGGCAATGGCCAAGTCTGCCAACAGCAAGGTTATCTTCTTGCCTGGTGCTAGCCAGGGCATGCCTTCTTTGAACAACGCGCACATCACAGATGGCAATGGCGAGTCCAGCAACAAGAATGATATCACCGGCAGCGACTTCGGAGGTGGGAACCCCGGTTTTCAACAAGCGCTGAACTCCCGCGTTATCGAGAACCTTTAAACGTGTTCATCGAATGCTGACTCGAGGGTTGCGTCGCGTTGAAATAGCGTGGTCCCATTCCTGATTTCGATGCCCTGCACTCGTCGCTGGGCATTTGTCCTCGGCACTGCAATCTTGCTTGACGAATTCCACGATAACCCTCTACACAATCTTTGCGCTTCCCACAGTCAACCCTTTCTGTCGAATTTCATATACCCACCCTTTTTCATCGCAAGGACGACTCGCAAGGACGAATGCACTGTTCTTGCTCAGTTTTCTGCAGACAGGAAGTTTGCAGTAGCTCGGGCCGTACGCAGAGACGAAAGATGCCCTGCGTCGTTGCCCGGAAAAGGCAGGACGGATGATACCCCTCGTTCGCTACCATTCCGTGACTCAAGGATACGGAGGTTCTGTATCTGCTTGGTGCAGATACCTTAATTAGTTGCTTAGTCTCTGTGCGCTCGACTGTTCTTAATGAATGTACTCTACATGTTTGTTGTATGGCATATCTCTGTCCCCCGTGACCCGACCCAGGTGTTTAGGTTGAGCCCCTGCGCACCATGAGCCCGCCCGCCAATAGCCCCCGCACCAACAAGATCCGAACTGGTGTAATGGCTAACATTTGACGCTCTCACCGTCAGGCTCAGGGTT